CCTCAAGGAAAAGGGTTTGTATTAAGGAATTAGGATCATTGGGATGGTCTAATTCAACTCCTTTATTTTACAGATGAAGAAATGGAAACTTCAAGAGAACGTGACTTTATAAGGTCACAGATAGAAGGTGGGAAGAGATTTAAGGCCATGTAGTCAAATCCCCTCTTCTTCTTTTTTTTTTTTTGTGAGGCAATTGGGGTTAAGTGACTTGCCCAGGGTCACACAGCTAGTAAGTATCAAATGTCTGATCCTGGATTTGAACTCAGGTCCTCCTGACTCCAGGGCCAGGGCTCTATCCACTGTGTCACCTAGCTGCCTCCAAATCCCCTCATTTTAAAGAGGAGACTGAAGCCTAGTGCTATTAAATGACTTGTCCAAGGTCACACGGGTGGTTTATTTACAGAGCCAGGATTTTAATCCAGACTCTGTAATTCCTATTTAGCTTAGCTTATAATCTTCTCCTTTAAATTAGTCAATAAGCATTTATTAAGTGCCTACTCTGTTCTAGGCACTGTGCCAAGCACTAGAGGCACATAAAGGGCAGAAGACAGTCCCTGCCCCAAATCAGCTCATAATCTAATGGGAGACAGAACATAAAAACAATTATGTACAAATAAGATATAGACTGGAGGCATGTTGTCTCCCTCAGCTAGATACTAAGCTCCTGGAGGGCAGAGATTTTGATGTTGTCTTTGTGTCTTTAGCCCCTGGTGCATAGTTGGTTTTTGATAAATGCTTATTGATTGATCAGTAAAATATCAAGAACTAGGGTTATTTGGTATGAGAGCAGGGAGAAAGTCTTGACAAACAGATTTCCTAGGGAAAAAGCAAAGTTCTTTGCAAACTTGTTTTTAAAAAATATATATTCTGATCATTGTATTTCAGTGTTGGTTGATTGATTTCTTTTGTAATCCTTTTTTGTAAATGTATTTATACATTTAAAAACCCTCTGAAAAACCTGAAAAGACTTAATATGAACTAACTGGTGCTAAGCAAAACAAGCAGAACCAGGAGAACATTGTACACAGTGACAGCCATGCTGTGCGATCACTGACTTCTATAGACTTAGCTCTTCTCAGCAATGCAAGGATCTAAGACAACTCCAAAAGACTCATAATGGAAAATGCTACCCCCAGCCAGACAAAGAACTTTGGAGTCTGAATGCAGATGGAAGTAGAATATTTGTTCTCCTTTCCTTTTGTCATTTTTGTTTGGTTTCTTCTTTCTTGTGGTCATCATGACTAATGTGAAAATAGGTTTAATATGAATGTATAAGTAGAACCTATATCAGATTGCACACTGTCTTGGGGAGAAGGGAAGAAGTGGGGTGAGAAAATTTAAAACTCAAAATCTTGTGGAAGTGAATGTTGAAAACTAAAAATAAGTAAATTAATTATAAAAAAAAAAAACAAAAAATAAAAATAAAAACACTCTGAGATGGAGTCCACACCCTCTTTCCCTCACCCTCTACGCACACACACACACACACACACACACACACAGGGTTAAGAACCCTATATCTGTGGACAGAGCCAAGATAGTGGACAAAAGATCTCTCTCTCCAAAACTCCTCCAAAACACTTTAAATAATGCCTTAGACAAATTCTGGAGCAGCAGAACTCACAAAAGGACTGGGTGAAACAATTTTCCAGTCCAAGACAATTTAGAAGCTTGGCTTGCTTGCTGTTTGTCTTTCATTCTCAGAGAGGACCATGACATCAGAGAGGTGATATCATGACATGCAAATGAATTGGATTTAAGTGAGGGAGGGCTGTGCAGTCACCAGTCTCACTTTATCTTCTGGAGCCACCTGGGTTCAGTGGCCAGATATAGATCAGGATGACTTGGAGATGGCCCAGAAAACAGAAGGGGTCCTTGGCTTTTTTAAGCTAAAGTATTTAATGGGTCTCAGTTTGACTGAGGCAACACCCATTCAGTGATTAAGGCTTAATAAGAAATGAGGTTGAGAATGACTTTTTTAAAAAAAATTGATCTGGGAGGGGAAGACCCTCAAGGTTTCTGACCAAAACAGAAACAATTGCTATTTACATTCATTCTAAGTTGTTGAGGACCCAAACAATGACATAGTAGGGCTTGTCCTAGGACAATAAAAAGTTGGTCAAAAAGGTCTCTCACCTGGGTGAGAGTGGAGTGCAATCCAGCACAGGTTGCTCCAGCACAGACCGAACCTCAGCAAATCAGGAACAGGCCTTGGGGGCAACAGGATCAGTGGCAGCAGTGGCCTGGATATCTCAGTCCACAGATGGTAAGTGGGGGTCAGACGACTGGTCAAAAGATTATAGGGTTCTCTTTGCATGCAGTAAGGGCAAACTCTTGTATTGCCCATTCTTAGAACTGGGTTGCAGTCTTTGATCTCAGTCCCAGGGTGAGGAGGAGTACTAGCACACAAGAGCTTGCAAATACAAGGAGAGCAGGGAACCTGGTCACAGTTCTTGGGCAGAAAAGAGTGCTTGTGATCACTCACAGACCAGAACACAAGCCAGGTAAACACAGCTCTCTCTAAGTCATACCACCTTGGATGAACTGAAAACTTACAGGTCCCCAGAATTATCTCTGAAAACAGCTGAAACTTAAAGTTTGGGACAGTGCCCCTTCTACTCTGAAAGTAGAGCCCCACTTAAGCATAGAGTTAAAAGTCAATAAATAGTCTAGAAAAAAATGAGCAAAGAGCAGAAAAAGATCCTGATTATAGGAAGTTACTATGGTGAAAGGGGAGTCAAAACAGAAACTCAGAAGACAACAAAGTCAAAATTGTTATATCCAAAGCTAAAGAAAAATATGAATTGATCTCAGGCCATGGAAGAGTTCAAAGGGATTTTTAAAATCAAGTAAGAGAGGTAAAGGGAAAATTGAGAAGAGAAATGAGAGTAGTACAAGAAAATAATGAAAAATAGTCAACAGCTTAGTAAAGGAAGCACAAAAAAAAATATTGAAGAAAATAACACCTTAAGGAGAATAGACCAAATGGTAAAAGAGGCACAAAAATCTAATAAAGAGAAGATTTTCTTAAAAAGCAGGATTGGCCAAATGGAAAAAGGTATACAAAAATTCACTAAAGAAAATAATTCCTTAAAAATTAGAATTGAGCAAGTGGAAGCTAATGACTTTATGAGACATCAAGAAACAATGAAACAAAATCAAAAGAATGAAAAAATAGAAGAAAATGTAAAATAGTTCTTTGGAAATACAACTGACCTGGAAAATAGATCCAGGAGAGATAATTTAAGAATTATTGGACTACCTGAAAGCCATGATAAAAAGAAAAAGAACCTAGACATCATCTTTCAAGAAATTATCAAGAAACACTGTCCTGATTTTCTAGAACCAGAAGGTAAAATAGAAACGGAAGAAATCCACCGATCACCTCCTGAAAGAGATCCCAAAATGAAAACTCCCAGGAATATTGCAGTCACATTCCAGAGCTCCCAGGTCAAGGAGAAAATATTGCAAGCAGCCAGAAAGAAACAATCCAGATATTATGGAGCCACAGTCAGGATAACACAAGAATTAACAGTTTCTACATTAAAGGATCAGAATACTTAGAATATGATAATCTAGAGGGTAAAAGAGCTAGGATTACAACCAAGAATCACCTGCCTAGCAAAACTGAGCATAATCCCCCCGGGGAAAAGTAGATATTCAATAAAATGGAGGACTTTCAAGCATTTCTAATGAAAAGACCAGAGCTGAATGGAAAATTTGACTTTCAATTACAAGACTCAAGAGCCCAGTATCTAAGATCCTAAGTTATAAATGAGTTTCTGATCTGAATTAGCATGGAGAACTTTCTCACTAGGAGTTTCCCCAAACCAATGAGATTATAGGTTCAGGTCAAACAACAGCAGTAACAATCCAAAATGGCTGGACATGTACATGTGCACGAGTTTGTGCATGCGCATGTGCGTGTGTGTGTGTGCGTGTGTGTGTGTGTGTGTGCGTGTGTGTGTGTGTGTACTAAGGGGAAATTCTAAGGCACAGTTCTGTGAGATTAAATTCTGAGAATCATGCTGCATTCTAGCTCCTAGTCCTTTGTTCCTTACTACCCCATAGTGTGTGGGAAGCTCACCAGACCTTCCAAGGTGGGGACCCTCTGCCCTCTCAAGTCAATCTAGGGACTCTGGGAAGTCCAATTGTCCAAGGCAGGTGACCTTTAAGTGGCACATAAAATGAGGTCCAGTGGTGTGTCTGGTTCCGAACACTTGGATCCCATTCAGACAATGGAAAGGCACTCTGAGTAATTCTTCAAATTGCTTGCTCAGGGGAGGGAGTGACTGTCCCAGAATGATATTCAGTGCTTTCACTTTGGGTAGAGGGGATCTACTATGCCAGGGCTCTTTAATGGGGTTTGTGCTCCAATGCTTTTCTGTAGAGCTAAAAATAGGCTGTGTTTCAATGCTCAGGGGCTAAGAACACGGCCCTGGATGGTCAGACACTGCCCTTCCAATCATCAGCCTTTATTTCCCTTAAAGTAACCAGTCACTCAGTTGTAAAGGGTATACAGGGTTTTGTAACCCTGGATCCTGGCTCTGCCATGAATTTGCTGTGTGACCTTGGGTAGATGTTTCATTTCTCTGGGCCTCAGTTTCCTCCTCTTTGGAGTGAAGGAATAGAACTGGGTCATCTTGAAGGTCTATTTCAGTTCTGATTTTCTCATGGTGAATCATGGTGGGGCGTAAAGAATACTAACCTACTTTTCTTTGTATTCTCCAGTGCCAAGCATAGTGTCTGGTATGTAGTAGGCACTTAATACATGCTTGTTGATTGATTGGTTCAATCCAATCCAACAAAGAAGGAAACTGAGGACCATAGAGTTTAAATCACTTGCCCAAGGTCACAGAGCTAATATTGGAACCCAAGGCATCTGATTTCAAATTCCTACTCCCTACCTGCTATCTTTGCATTATTGGAAAATGTTTGCTTATCTGTAGCCTTGAGGTAGATGAGCTCACCTCTGATAAGTGTTTTTGTTGGCTTTGCAGGGACCTGGCCCTGGGACACTGATGCAGGGAGATCTGTTAGCCCAAAGCTTTCCAGCGCTGTGTTGGTGTGCACCTGGGAGAGTCCACTGAGCCTCTACCCTCTGTGGAGAGGGCCAAAAGTCCCCAGGCCTTTGGATAAATGCCCCTACAATCTCAGGCTGAGAAATTGGGAGAAGAAACTTGAACCAGCTAATTAACTTTCAAGCTGCCTTTCTGTAACAAGATCCCTCCTTCTCCAGAACTTTCAGAGCTGAAGAATCAAATGTAGCAAAAGGAGAATAACCCTGATATGTTCTGAGGACAGAATCCTTCTTTCCTTAGCTCAAAACGTCTAGCAGAAGCCCAGGTGATGCTCTCCTCCCACTCACCTTTTCTAGTTTCTCCTTCCTTAAAGATCCATCTTCAGCCAGTGTTGGACATGAGCTAACAGTCCTGCTAGACTATTCTTTGTCATTTCAACCTGAAAATCTACCTTGGAAAGAGGTCTTGACCTTGACTGTGTTAGCCCAAACTTATAGAGATTACGAGCTATTTGTAGTCTTATCCAAGCCATATCAACCAGTATACCCACCTAGACCTACCTTGGGTCTAGAGCTGCCTCCTTTGGATGAGAATTCTCCCCTCCCAATCTCCCACCACATGACTCCTTCCCTCTTTGAGCTCCACAACTAGACCCCAAGAGGTGAGTCCGGAATGAACCTGCTATGGCCAAACTCTGGGTCAAGTTCCAGCGGTATTTTCGCAGGAAACCAGTCCGTTTCTTTACCTTGGTGGCTCTCTACCTGACGGCTGGGAGCCTGGTTTTCCTGCATGCAGGCTTTATGGGCCAGCCCGCTGTGGCTGAGAATGAGCCCAACCCAGCCGCCAGTGCCCCTGAGGGAGCTGAACTGCCATACCAGGACCTCCTGCACCTGGAGAGAGGCTTCCGGGAGACCCCTGAGTCTCCAAATGCTGTCCGCAGATATGGCCCTTGGCTCAAGAGCACCTCATCGAAAGATTCACCAGAGCGGGGCAGGCTGGGAGACTATGGTGGGACTTGGAGCCGGGCCCTCAAAGGGAGAGTCCTCAGGGAGAAAGAGGAAGAAAGAGGTAAGAAGGCTGTGATCAAGGGTGAGGTATGTGAAAGGAGGGTGGGGGGCAAAGACAGGTGACCACCCTGTGAAGTCAAAAGACCAAAATCAGCTCTTCTGATTATTAATGGTGTGACTTTAACTCCTCTGGGCCTCAGTTTCCTTATCTATAAAAATGAGTTAGTTGGATTTGATCTGAAAAGTCTCTTCTTACTCTAAATCCTTACTCTAAATCCTATGATCCTTTCTTAGCCTTTGTTCTCTGTGACCTGAGATACCTGTAGTGCCATTTGTTCTATGAAGAGGGAAATGGACTGTGGAGAAGTACCAGGGACTGGTGTTTCTGTGCAGGTTGTTTGAAGCATCCCTTTGGAGAGGGGCAGGATGACTTTGTGGAGCGAACACTGGACTACCTCCCATTGATCCCAAATATTTCTCCATTGTTCATAGTTGTAGATGTACCACCTAACCCATTAGAATTTGAGCTCCCTGAGGGCAAGGACATTGTTGTTTGTCTTTGTAACTCCAGTGCTCAGCACTGTGTCTGGCACAAAGTAAGTGCTTAATGAGTGCTTCTTGACTGGTTAGATTTAAGGTCATCAAGAAGAGTCAGACATGACTAAACAACAATAAAAAGGTTAAATTCTCAGTCTCGTTTGTGATCTTGGGCAAGTCACTTCAGATCTTCAGGCCTTGGTTTCCCTTTCTATAAAAGGAGAAAGTTGGATTAAATGATCTCTAAGGACTTTTCATCTTGAACAGTCTAATGAGATACTTGGAGAGGCCATCACATCCGGCTTCAGTCTTTTCATTGCCAGAGGAAACATCCTTGTTTCCATGAATTGATTGTTGTCTATCTTCTTAAATCTCCTCCTTTCTTATTCCCTCTATCTTTTTGCACTCACTGAGACCTGGCTCCCTCCTGCTGACACAACCTTCCTGGCTGCCCATTCCAGCACTGGCTACACTTTCAATCATTCCCACAATTCACTGGTCAAGGCAGGGCAATTGGAACACTTCTTACTCCCAATTGCCACTTCCAGGCTCACTCTCTACCCCCATCACTTAATAAACTCTTGTCCTTTGAGGTTCACTCAATGCATATTTACTAATCAAAATCCTTATAGCTATTGTCCACAGACCTTGAGGACATTCTCTTTCTTACCTCAATGTATTTAGTGCAGCTCACAGTCTTTCTCTTCTAAATTCCTGTCTTCGCACTAGGGGATTTCACTATACATATTGACTCTCCCTTAAACACTCTAACCTCCTAGTTCCTCAACTTACTCATTTCCCATGATCTACTCTCCACCCCACCTCCACCACACACAAAAATGGCCATAGCCTTGATCTTGCCATCACTCACAAATATACAAACTTCCATGTTCACGGACTCTGTAATTCCCTTATCTGATCATAAGCTGTTCCACCGCTTCTTCTGCCTCACCCTTCCAAATCCTGTTCTTCAGCCTCTTTGTGACCACCAATCTTTCTGCCCCCTTAGTTCTTTCCCAGGCCATCACCCCTGCACTGGCTATAGTCTCTTCCCTTCCCCATCTTGACTCCTTGGTGAACCAGGTCAACTCTACACTGTCCTTTCTCTCAAGTCCTTTGCCCCATCCTCAAAAAATTCTCACTTCATCCATCCCCCTAGCTATTGTCCTTTATCTTATCTCCATTTTTGACTAAGCTCCTTGAGGTTGTCTAGGTGACCACTTCTTTTCCTATCACTCCCTTGTTAACTCTGCCTCTGGCTTCCAACCTCATAATTCCATCAAAACTCCTCTCTAAAGTCACTAATAACCTCTTAGCTACCCAGTCTAGTGGGCTTTTCTCAATCTTCAATCTTCTTTTCCTTGATACTCTCTTCTCTTGAGTCTAGATACTGCTCTCCTGGTTTTCCTACCATTTGTCCCATCTCCCTTTCTGGATCCTGATCCAGGTTATGCCTGCCAATTGTTGGTGTCCCTCAAAGCTCTGTCCTTGGTCTTCTTCTCTTTCCCCTCTGTTATTTAACTTGGTAATCTCATCAGTTCCCCTGATTTAAATTGTCATCTCTATTCAGATGACTCTCAGATTTACTCATCCAGCCCTAATATCTCTGACCTTCACTCTCCATCTGAAATTCCCTACTGAACATCTTGAATTTGATATCCTGTATGTTGATCATGTCAAAACTGAATTCATTCATTTTCTTTTCCCCAAAACCCTTCCCACTTTCAAACTTTTCTAATACGGTAGAGGGTACCACCATCCTCTGGGTTACCTAGGCTCATTAACCTAGGTGTCGTCCTTGACTCCTTCCTCTCATCCCCCAAATCCAATCAGTGGTTAAATCCTGTCGTTTCTACCTTTATAACATCTCTTGTATACACCCCTTTTTGTCTTCTGACACTGCCACCATTGTGGTCTGGACCCTCACCCCTCACACTTTGGTCTTCTTGCTCCAGGTCTCTCCCTACACCACTCCCTACACTCCATTTAGCTGTTTATTGATCTTCCTAAAGCACAGGTCTGATTATGTCACCTCCCTATTCAACAAACTCCAGTAGCTCCCCATTACCTTCAAGATCAAAAAGAAAATCCTCTTTTTGGCTTTCAAAGTCCTTCATAAAGTCCCTTCCTACCTTTGTTGTCTTTTTTTACATATACTCCAAGCAGTCAACATGGGTCTCTTTACTGTTCCTCACACAAGACACTCCATCTCCCAACCTGAGGCATTTTCACTAACTGTCCCCATGCCTGGAATGCTCTCTTTCTACCTCTGTGCTTCCAAGTTTCCCTGGTTTCCTCCTAGTTTCATATAAAATCCTACCTTCTGCAAGAAGGCTTTCCCAGTCCTCAGTGCCTTCCCTCAGAGATAAGGTCCAATTTATCTTGTCTATATCTTGTTCATACACAATCATTTGTTTGTTGTCCCCCATTAGGCTAGGAGCTCTTTGAGAGCAGGGACTGGTTTTTGCTTTTCTTTTTAATCCCCAGCCCTTAGCACAATGCCTAGAACATGTTAGGGACTTAATAAATGACAGTTGATTGATCCAGTCCCCTTGTCTTACTGGATGTCCTCCTCAGGAAATGCACTGGCTTTTCAGCATCCTTCTGATATATAGCACCTCAAACAAAGCCCTGCTGCAGAACGTAGAGGTAGCCTGAGGACAGAAGGGCCTGGGAAGGGGCATGCAATGAGAGGGGAATGGAGAGTGGAGATGGTGCCAAACAATGAGAGACGCACCAAGAACCAACTGCCACCACCATGATTTTGCTGAGGGCTGGCCCTGGGAAGAAGGTTCCCTTTCACTTTTTTTTTCTTGTGGCTGAAACCTACCTCCCTCTAGCTTCTAGACACTGGTCCTAGAAAAACACCAACACCAGCAACACAGTTTTTTGTTTGGATTTGTTGTTCTGCTCCAGGATCAGGCCCAATCTAAATGAAAGATCAGGGTGTTTCCTCAGTTAATAAGCATTTATTAAGCACTAAGTGCTGGGCCTTGTGCTTAGTGCTGGGGATAAAAAGAAAGGAAAAACCGGTTTCTGCCCTCAAGGAGCTCACAGTCCAATGGGGAAGACTTCATGCATACAACTATGTACCTACAGGCTATGTACCAAATAAATTGGGGAATAATCTCTGAAGGAGGGTGCTAAGATTAAGATCTGAGTCCTGTTTGAAGGAATCCAAGAGGCAGAAGTGAGGAGGGGCAGCATTCTGGGCCTGGGAGTTGGGGGGTGGCCAGTGAAAAAGCATCAAGTGTGAAGAAGATCTTACTCAGTGTCTGTAGCTGTCCCAGGCTGGACCAGAGGTCACAGGAGTCTACAGAAGCTTCCTGTGTCTTAGTCATAAAAACCAAAAACCTCAACCATGGGCTCAGCCCCAACCCTGATCACACCTTTCAAGCCTGATGACCTCCTCCCCCCACAAAGCCTTAGAATCTCCCCAGCCTTGGCTGTGCCACCAATTTTTTGCTTCATTTCCCCCACTTCAGGCTTTGGAGAAGGAGACTCCCAAAGTATCCTATCCATTTCTAATTGTGCTAGCAAGCTCTGCTTCTCCTACAGTAATTTGTGCCTCTGTCTTATCTGCTCCCTGAGGGTAAGGGTGAGGTCTTATCCTTCCAGGTATTTCCCTCTGCCCTAGGCACTGGCTCTACACTGAGTAGGTTCTCTGCAAATGTTTATTCATGTATAAATGAATGAATAAATTAGTGAATAACTGTGTGAGTAAATGAAGGAATTGACAAGGGAATGAATTAGTGAGTGAATAAGTGAGTGGTTGAGTCAATGACCGAAGGCAGAGGAGTCCTCTGAATCCAAATTTCTGCAATGGTAGGGGCTCACCCAGAGGCAACATATCCTAGCAGAAAAACGTGCTGAATTTGGAGTCAGGGAATCTGAATTCAAACCCTGACTTGTTATTTTAGAGTACTGAACTTGGAATCAGGAAGACCCAAGTTCAAATCCAGCCTCAAATGCTTAGTAACTGTGTGACCTTGAATAAGTCACTGAACCTCTGTATTCCTCAATTTCCTCAACTATAAAATGGGGATAGTAATAGTACCTACATCCCAGGTTGTTGTGAGGATCAAATGAAATAATATTTGTAATGTGCTTTGTAAATCTTAAAGCATCATATAAATGCTAGGTACTAGTAGTAGTAGTAATATTAGTACTAGGGCTAGTATTATTACCAACTGTGTGCTAGGCACCACAATGGAGATACAAAAACAAAAATAAATGATCCTAATACCCTTCTCACAGCCTCAGTTCCCTCCTCCATAAAATACAGAGGTTGGAAAAATGATCTCTATGGTCCGCTCCAGTTCTCAAACCTCCGATCCCTACTCTATTTTGAAAATTAAGGGAAATCAGAGATGTGAAAATCATTTCACAAACTGTAATGTCCTGGGCACAAGGGAGCAATTAGGAAAGTCTCATTACACAGAATACCATGTTAGGTACTAAATGAAGGAGCTCACTGGTCCAAGTTGATTAAACAGAACTCAGTGACATAGACATCTGGCTTTA